CCTTTATTTCATGCAATTGAGATTCTAGTACTTTTTTATTTCATGTGTTGATTTTAATATTGTTCTTAATACATTTAATTACTTGATCACTAATTAGATGATTTGTGAACATTGATTGCGTAGAGATGCGGATTATTTGTTTAGACCACATGTTAAAATTCGGTAAATTGATATAATGTGTAGAGATACCTATATTGATTGTTGCGGTCGGGTGTGAATTCTTAGAACCAATGTTTCATTTAATTAAAGTTAATTTGTATAGAGATATGGAATTAAACTAATTAAGTAGGCTCAATGAGAACTCGAGAGGGGTAAGTTGATTACAATAGAAGAATTCGACCGAACACTACCTTAGGTTTTATGAATCTTGATTTATGAAGTAAAGGTGACCAATAGGTGAAATTGTTCCGCCCTAACGTCCATTTATTGTTTGAATTCTCAATCACTTTTCATTGAATCCAATCACATTTTAAATCTTTAGAGTAAAAATCACATTTAATCATTATTTTTTATTTACATTCGTCAAATAGTAGTAAAAGAAAGATTAAATTAAGTGCTACAAAATAGTCCTCGTGGGATCGATAACCGGACTCTTAGGTCCACTATTACTTGTTACGGATCGTACACTTGCGAAACAAAATTTTACAACAAGTTTTTGGCGCTGTTGCCGGAGACTATTTCTTTTAGTCTTAATTTATTTTTTTTATTTTGGCTATTATTTGATTAGTTTATTTTTCTTTTATTTACAGAAAAGTGTGTTCGTTGTATGCTCCGTGCCCAAGGCGACGATCTTGAACCATTTGATTCGGAGATAGAACGTACCTTCAGACGAAGACGCAAGGAACACAAACAAAAACAGCAACATCAAATGGCTGACAATCAACAAATCCATATCCCTATTCAGCCGATTGGGCAAATGGCCGCAAGAGTGGTGGCACCACCGGAACAACAGCATGAACGAAGGGAAATAAATGAAGGGGATTTGCCAGTATCAATGTTCCTGACACCTATAGCAGCACCCATGCGCTCCAGTATCGTGTATCCAGATTTTGGGGTGAATAACTTTCAGATAAGGCCAGATTGGATTAACTTGATGAGCAACACCTTGCAATTCTACGGGCTACCTCAAGAGAATCCAAACACGCATATTTCTAGATTTCTCAGAAACTGTCAGAACTTTCATGCTCCGGGAGTCAATGAAGATGCTATTAAACTACGACTATTCCCATTTACATTGAGAGATGCTGCATTGAAGTGGTTAGATGCTGAGCCTCACGCTAGCATCACTACATGGGAAGAACTAATCAGGAAGTTCTGTAATAAATTTTTCCCACCAACGAGGGTAGCTAAAATCAGATTAGAAATTCAGACTTTTCAACAGAAAGAGGGAGAAAGCTATCGCGAAGCATGGAATAGGTTTAATGAGTTGATGAGAAAATGCCCAAACCATGGAATTACTATAGGTAATCAAGTGCAGTACTTCTACACTGGACTTACACCACTGTCAAAATCTCAAGTCGATGGCTCAGTTGGAGGATCAATTATAGGAAAATCTGTGCAGCAAACCATGGAACTATTTGAGTTGATTGCCACTACACATTCCATGTTCTCATCGGAAAGAGTGGCACCATCGAAGACTGGAGGAATGTATGAGTTAGACAGCGCAGTAGCTACCAACGCCCAAATAGTGGCATTGACAAAACAAGTGGAGTTATTGGTGAAATCACAAACGAAAGGAGCACATGCAGTGACAGCTGGTCCATCATGCGAGAACTGCGGGGCTAATCATCTGACAGAAAACTGCACATCTATAGGCTATCCCGATGAGCAGGTCAATTTCATTCAGAATGGGTCTCAAAATCTTAATCCATTTGCTCAAACATACAACCCAGGATGGAGACAGCACCCAAATTTCAGATGGTCAGATAATCAACAAGGGAACAGTTCAAATAATGCCCAACAAGAGAAAAAACCAAGTTTGGGAGAGATGTTCAACCAGTATATGCAGAAGACTGACAAGGTGTTTCAGCAGATTGACACTAATTTTCAGAATCAGCAAGCATCAATCAAGAAGTTGGAAACACAAATTGGTCAAATAGCTCAACAGCTTGCAGAACGCCCACAAGGGACATTGCCAGGAAATACAATGGCCAATCCAAAAGAGCAAGTGCAAGCTATAACTACCAGGAGTGGGGTGCAACTTCCAGAAATTCATGTGAAGAGACCTGAGCGAAAAGAAAAGGAAAAAAATGGGTGAAGAGGCTGGGAAAGAAATAGAGTTTGAACAACCAACTGACAAGGAAAACGAAAGGAAGGAAACACCTGCAGTGAGAGCACCCAGCCCCGTGAAGGCTTATGTGCCACCAATTCCATTCCCTCAAAGGTTACAAAGAAAGAAGTTGGATAATCAGTTTGCCAAGTTTGTGGAGATTTTCAAGAAACTGCACATCAATATTCCTTTTGCAGACGCAATTGCTCAAATGCCCAGCTATGCAAAATTCTTGAAAGAGATCCTATCTAACAAAAGGAAGCTGGAAGAACATGAGACAGTATGCTTGAACGAGGAGTGCAGTGCAATACTATTGAGAAAGCTACCTCCTAAGCTAAAAGACCCAGGGAGTTTCACTATACCTTGCATAATTGGTTCTAATTTCTTTGAACATTCTTTATGTGATTTAGGTGCCAGTGTTAATTTGATGCCTCTCTCTGTTTACAGGTCTCTTGGACTAGGAGAAGCAAAGCCTACAACAATATCGTTGCAACTGGCAGACAGATCGATCAAACGACCAAAGGAAATTATTGAAGATGTGCTGGTTAAAGTCGACAAATTTATTTTTCCGGCTGATTTCATCATTTTGGACATGGAAGAGGACTCAAATATTCCTCTGATCTTGGGAAGACCGTTCTTGGCTACTGGGAGAGCATTGATTGATGTGTATGATGGAAAAATGATTCTTAGAGTGGATAATGAGCAAATCATATTCAACGTGTTCAAGGCAATGAAACACCCATTGACTTCCGACACTTGCTGCCAAGTTGATGTTCTTGAAGAGCTTGTGGTGGATACATTCGATATAGAGCATCACACAAATTTTTATGAGGCAGAATTTGCACAATTGGAAGCAACAAATGCAGGAAAAGCTAAATGTATTGTCAACTTAGCCGAGCAACCCATAGGAAGAAGGCATTGGCAATATGAATCTCTAGGAGACAACCCTTCTCCCCCGGTACCCTCAGTGGAAAAGGTACCTACTCTTGAACTTAAGCCCTTACCTTCCCATCTTCGGTATGTATATTTGGGAGAATCGTCAACACTGCCAGTAATCATTGCAAATGATATGATAAGGGAAGATGAGAATAAATTGTTGGAGGTACTCAGGCAACACAAAACGGCAATTGGATGGACAATAGCAGATATAAGAGGGGTCAGTCCAACTCTTTGCATGCACAAGATTCTAATGGAGGACGGGTCGTGGGCATCAGTGGAAGGACAACGCCGATTGAATCCAACCTTAAAAGAAGTAGTGCGAAAAGAAGTGCTTAAATTATTGGATGCAGGAATAATTTATCCCATATCCGATAGTTCGTGGGTGAGTCCTGTACATGTTGTACCTAAAAAGGGTGGAATCACAGTGGAGAAGAACGAGAAATATGAGCTGATACCAACATGGTTAGTGACAGGGTGGAGGGTTTGCATAGATTATAGAAAGCTAAATAATGCAACCAGAAAAGACCATTTTCCATTGCCATTCATTGATCAGATGTTGGAAAGGTTGGCAGGACATTCTCATTATTGCTTTCTGGACGGATATTCAGGGTATAATCAGATAGTAATTGCTCCAGAAGACCAAGAGAAGACAACCTTCACATGCCCTTATGGAATGTTTGCATTTAGAAGAATGCCTTTTGGCTTATGCAATGCACCGGCAATCTTTCAACGATGCATGATGGCTATCTTTTCTGACATGGTAGAAAAGTACATTGAAGTTTTTATGGATGATTTTTCTGTGTTTGGAGATTCCTTTGATGATTGCTTGGAGCGGTTGGCTCTTGCATTGCAAAGATGTGAGGAGAAGAACCTTGTGCTTAATTGGGAAAAATGTCATTTCATGGTAAAGGAAGGAATAGTACTGGGACATAGAATTTCTGCACAGGGGATTGAAGTGGACAAAGCCAAAATACAGGTGATTGAGAAATTGCAGCCACCTAATTCAGTAAAGGGGATCAGGAGTTTTCTGGGACATGCAGGTTTTTATAGAAGATTCATTCAAGACTTTGCAAAATTACACAACCGTTGTGCAACTTGCTAGAGAAAGATATACCCTTTCGATTTTCTGAGGAGTGTTTGAAAGACTTCAACATTTTGAAAGAAAAATTGACATCGGCCCCTGTGATAGTGGCTCCAGATTGAGAATTGCCTTTTGAGCTCATGTGTGACGCCAGTGATTTTTTAGTGGGGGCAGTGCTTAGACAACGCAACGGAAAAGTATTTCATGTTGTCTACTATGCTAGCAAAACATTGAATGATGCTCAGATCAACTATGCAACAACTGAAAAGGAATTGCTTGCAGTTGTTTTCGCTTTTGACAAATTCCGTTCTTATCTGATTGGGTCCAAGGTGATAGTTTATACAGACCATGCAGCTCTGAAATATTTGTTTGAGAAGAAGGATGTGAAACCAAGGCTAATTCGCTAGGTGCTGTTACTATAAGAATTTGACATCGAGATTCGTGATAAAAAAGGAACTGAAAATAAGGTAGCAGATCACTTGTCAAGGACAGAGCAACATCAGAATTCAGATAATATGAATATCAATGAGATCTTCCCAGATGAACAGTTACCGCTGGTAGAAAAAGCTCCGTGGTATGCAGACATTGTTAATTACTTAGCCAGTGGCATATGGATCCGGATCTCACCTATCAGCAAAAGAAGAAGCTCAGTCATGAAGCGAAATTCTATTACTGGGATGATCCAAATTTGTATAGGAGAGGGGCGGACCAGATCATTAGGAGATGTGTGCCTGAGGATGAAATGAAACCGATCCTCTCACGAGTACATGCTTCGGCTTATGGAGGGCACTTTGGCCCCACTAAAACAGCAGCAAAGGTACTCCAATTTGGTTTCTTTTGGCCTACATTGTTCAAGGATTGCCACAGTTTCTGTAGGTCATGCGATAAGTGTCAAAGAACTGGTAACATATCGGCGCGTCACGAGATGCCACTTAACAACATTTTGGAAGTGGGAATATTTGATGTCTGGGGGGTTGATTTTATGGGTCCGTTTCCATCATCTTACAACAATCGATACATCCTGGTCCCGGTGGATTATGTTTCAAAATGGGTAGAAGCTAAAGCACTGCCTACTAATGACACAAGGGTGGTGGTCGACTTCATAAAGAAAAACATATTTAACCGATATGGATCACCTAGGGCAATTATAAGTGATGGTGGAACGCATTTCCGCAATCGGTTATTCCAAGCAGTTTTGCATAAGTACGGAGTACAACATCGAATTGCCACTCCTTATCACCCTCAGACTAGTGGACAAATGGAAACATCAAACAGACAATTGAAAAGAATTTTGGAGGTCACTGTGAATGCATCTTGCAAGGATTGGTCAAAAAAATTGGACGATGCTTTATGGGTATATCGCACAGCTTACAAGACGCCTATAGGAATGTCCCCATACCGACTAGTCTTTGGGAAAGCATGCCACCTACCAGTGGAATTTGAGCATAGAGCGTATTGGGCATTGAAGCAGTTAAACATGGACCTCGATAAGGCTGGAGAAACAAGAATACTACAGCTAAATGAGTTGGAGGAATTCAGAAGAGAGGCATATGAGAATGCATCCATCTACAAGGAAAGGACAAAGCAGTGGCACGACAAGAACATCAGGCAACGAATTTTTCGAGTAGGGGATCAAGTGCTATTATACAATTCCCGGCTTAAACTTTTCCCAGGAAAATTGAAGTCTCGATGGTCCGGCCCTTTTACGGTCTCTCAGGTGTTTCCCTACGGGACAGTTGAATTACACCATCCAACTAAAGGAAATTTCAAAGTAAATGGTCAACGCATCAAGATTATGTGGAAGATTTTCCCACCGCTAAAGAGAGTCTTGATCTAGCTGTTCCCGAATAACTGCGGCACTACGTCCAGCTAATGACTTAAAAGAAGCGCTTCTTGGGAGGCAACCCAAGCTCTATTCTTTATTTGATTATTGGTTTATGCTTTGATTTTGTTTTCTTCCTTTAATAATTTATACTATCGTAGTAACTCTTTCTCTTGCTTTTGTAGGAGAATCCATGAAGGTTACACATCACGAAATTTGAGCTCTACAATGAAAATGAATGAGTGTGAAAAAGGGTGAGGAAAAAAAAAATTACAAAATGAAGGCAGAAACTCAGCGCCTAGGCGCTGAGTTCGCAGCGCCCAGGCGCTGGTTCTGCCAATTTTGGCAGAAACGCAGCGCGAACGCAGTGCCCAGGCGTTGCGCCTATGCGTTTTGGGCAGAAACGCAGCGCCCAGACGCTGCGAACATGACCATCCCCTCCCCTCATATATTTTTTTTTCTTTTTCTTTCTTTCTTGTCTATTTCTTATACCCTAAGCCCCCATCCCTCATACGATTTTCCCCAACCCTCTTTCCCTCTCATCTCTTCCCTCTCCCCTCTCATCTTCTCCCCCTAACCTTTACCTTTACTTTTTTTTTTCTTCTCCCCCTCAACCCCTCCAAGGTAAACTCTTCCCCTCTCTTTCTTTTTTTTTTTTTTGTTTTGTTTTTGGTTAATTTATCTTATCACCTCACCTTACCCACATCACATTTTTTTTTCAAATCCACAATTTTTTCGCCTCCCTACCACTCCCCTTTGTTGTTTTTCCACATCTCTTTGTTGATAAGTGTGCATTCATCCATCTCAATTAGTTTTCACAACACCATTCCAGGTATGGCTTTTGTATTTGCTCCTCTTACATTATAGTTGTTGCGTTTATGTGCCTATTTTTGTTAATTATGTTATGAGGAGGTCTTGCCTTGTGGTAGTGTCAAGAACTTTGTGTGTTGTGTGAATATTGTGGCATGAACTATTCCCAACTTATAGGCAATTTTTTTTGGTGAAAAATTGGTGCATTCAATGTGTTTGATGAATTGTCTAGGTGAACTTAGTTGGGTAAAAGGAGCTGTTTTGGCTATTGTGCTATTTGAATTATGTGGGAATTGCCATGTAGATGATTATGAGTTGACAATTGGGTTTAGAGTACATCACTTGCACGTTCGACCATAATTTCCTCTAATGGCTAGATTTTTAGCCTTGCCTTATTGTCCTTTATTACTGTTTTCTTGCTCATGGTTTGCTGTTTTTACCCTTGTACAGGTCCAATGCCGCCTAAAAAGAGAACTAAAGTCGCAGCCTCCTCTTCTAGCTCATTTGACAGGAGCAAATTCATTAGTGTCGAGGCCGCTGAACGTTATAATAGCTTGGTGGTACACAAGACCTGTATTCCTAAACGTGGTTTTGACAATTATATGACAGAGCAAATAGGTCGGTGGAATTGGGAGGTGTTTGCTCGGCAGCCACGACCGGCGCTAATTCCGGTTGTTAGAGAGTTCTACGCCAATGCGAAGGAGCATCGTGATTTTCAAGTGTTTGTGCGGGGTAAATGGATACCATTTGATAGAACCTCCATCAACAGGTTTTATCATTTGCAAGATATTGAAAATGACGAGTACTCTAGACTTCGTGACGAGGGTGTTGATCCTGATGAGGTTATTCAAGCCTTAACTACAACTGGCACAACATGGAAAC